AAAGCCAGGAAGTATGTCGACAGCCATGTCTGAGCTTGTGAATAGTAAATGTCTAACAAGTCTCTTGCAGGAACCACCCTCCCAGGGTTAACCTAATCAGCCCTTTGTGACCTACTTGACAAGAATAAACTCCACCATGGCAGCAATCCTGTGACTAACCCACCCATCTGCCTACTGTCCATCACCTGACATGTTTTGGCTTTTTGAGGGGTAGAGATTAAAATTTCAGATTCCATTTTGTCTTAAATAAAGCACCATTTAGATACCTATTTCTTCTTGTGTCTACTTTGACAAGTTGTATTTTTTTTAGAAATTTGCACATTTTTTTAGTCAGAGTCTCACTCTGTCGCCCATGCTGGAGCGCAGTGGTATGCTCACAGCCACCACAGCCTCTACCTGGGCTCAGTTGATCCTTCCATCTCAGCCTTCCAAGTAGGCACACATCACCACGCCTGGCTACTTTTTTGATTTATTGTAGAGATGAGGTCTCACCAAGTTGCCCAGGTTGGTCTCGAACCCCTGGGCTCAGGTAATCCTCTTGCCTCGGCCTCCCAAAATGCGGGGATTATAGGCATGAGCCACTATGCCTGACTTCTTTTATTATCTTTTTAATCCCTGCTTGTCTATAATGACAGCTCCTTTTCATTCCTAATATTGTTTATTTGTGTCTTTCTTGATCAGTCTTTCTAATATTTTATAAATATTTTCTTTTAAAGAATCAATTTCTTTGTTTTTTGTTATTCTTTATTGTATATTTGTTATCTATTTTATTAATTTTTTAACTTTATTTTATTATAAATATGTGGGGTACAAGTCACGATAAGGTACATAAGTAAAATATGTGTAGGTGAAGTTTGGGTCTCTAATTGGTCCTCACTTCCCCTGGTTTAAGATCAGGAACTCTTTATGGTTCCACATGCTCCCACCTCCCCTGGCAGTGTCCCACTATGGTTGGTGCCACTATGGTTGTCCCACTATGGCAGTGTCCCACTATGGTTGTGCTATTGTGATTAATGTTCAGGTTCTACTTATGAGTAAGAACATGTGGTATTCGGTTGTTTCTGTGATAGAATGATTATCTCCAGTTCCATCCAATTTGCTGAGAAGTCCATGATTTTGGTCTTTCTTTATGGCTGTGAAATATTCCATTGTGCATACGTACGACATTTTCTTTGTCCAGTCTACTTTAGATGAACAATAAAGTTGGTTCCATGTTTTTGCTGTTGTGAATAGTGTGGCAATAAACATGCATGTGTAGGTGTCACTTTTGTAGAACTATTTGTGTTCTTCCAGGTATATTCCCAGGAGAGGGATTGCTAGATTGTATAGAAGGTTAATTTTTAGTTCCTTTGGAGGTCGCCACAACATTTTCCATAGTAGCTGGACTAGTTTGCACTCCAACCTATAGTGTAGAAGTGTCCCCTTTTCTCTGCACTCAGACCAGCATCTATTGTTTTTTGATTTATTAATAATGGCTATCCTTACTGGTGTTAGGTGGTATCTCAGTGTGGTTTTGACTTGCATTTCTCTGATGATTAGTGAGGTTGAACATTTTTTTATGTGTCTGTTGGTTGCTCATATGTCTTTTTTGATGTGCAAAAGCTTTTGAGTTTGATGAGGTCCCATTATTATGAAACATTCTTACTATCCACTAGTTCTCCTTGTCTTTGCCAGCTATTAGTATAATGACATCAACTTTTTTAGGGAGGGCGGTCAAGTTTGCATGATATATTTTTCTCCATCCTTTTACTTCCAACATTTTTCCCTCTGATATTTGCAGGTATCTCTTGAAAGTACTACATAGTTGAGATTTTTTAAAAATCCAATCTGCCCCTCTTTGCTTCCACACTTGGTGCAATTGCTGATAAACTTGGATTGAAAGCTACCATTATATTCACCATCTTAATATGAGTTTCACAACTGTCTTATCTGTTCTGTCTTCTTTTCTTCTTTTATTTTTGATTAAATACTCTGTAGTATTGCACTTTACAATTTCTTCACATATAAAACTGCTAATAGGAATAAAACCAGGTGGTGGCACACAGAATCCCAACTATCTTCAGAAGTACTTGGGACTCTGATAAAATGCATAGTCGCCCCAGAAGTATTGAATCAAAATGTGGAGCAGGCAATATGCAAGGTGCATTGTTTTAAGCTCTATGGATAATTGTGATAGACAGCCAGACAACCATCAATCTAGACTCTACTTCCTCTTGAACCTTTGAAATTAGCTATAGAAAACATGGCTGAGGAAATACCTTTAGAATCAGTCCCTTTCCTTAGCACTTCACTGGTTCCTGCACAGGGCCTGGATGCTGTGCCCTGGTTGAACTCCAGCCCCCAGGCTAGCTGGCTGTTGTCACTGCGCACAGCCAAGAGGCTCACCAGGTAGGCAGAGGGTCGTTAGCCAGGCCTGACCTCCTCCTCTTATCTAGTGTCTGGTACCACAGACCAACAACTCAAATGTCCAAGCCTGGCTCCCTTTTCTTCCCTGGTTCCCTCCCTCTGATTCTGGCAGGGCCTTTCTGGAGGCCTGGCAAATCTTTGATAAATTACCCAGGAAGATCTGTAATTGTCTCCATGAAGCCAAGCAACTTATGTGCTGAACCAACTCAGTCACCACGCATCCTGGGTATTATTTTTGTTTTATTGTAAGACATTAATATTACAATATTGACGGCATTGTGGACTGCACTTTGATAAAGTCATCTAGCACAATCCTGAGCCCTTGCTTCCTGTAGAAAGAGAGGCTACCTTTAAAATTAACCACAAAAGCCCTAAAAGGAATTACAAAAATGCATATCTACCTCTTATGAAGTTGTTTAGTGCATCCAGTCATACCAAAGATAGTTGAAGCAGATATAACAATTTTATCTTCAACATTCAAATGAGAAAAAAAAAGAGAGGATAGAGCAGTAAACAAACAATTTTTTATCTTAAGCAAGAAGATATCTGGTACAGAGATAAGACCAAAATAAATCAAGGAAAAATAGTCAGTTAACTGGAAACATAAAAAATAATATCTCAGTGTGAACTTCTTCCACCAAAATAATAATATAATATTAATAATAAATCAACAGCTACGCCCTAAAGTGGGTGGAGGCATTTTAGAGTTATGATATCACATTATACATAATACATATGTTATTGTCTTCATAAAAGCAGAGAAAAATGCAGAGAAAAATTGACACTTGTTTTTCTGTTCTGGCAATTTCTCAAAAACAGATTTTGTTGGGGAAAGAATTCTGAAGGATGTGTTTGTTTGTTTTTGTTTAGCCTGAAGGTTTTAAAAACATATTTTATTTAAAAACAAACACTCAGTCTTTCCCCCATGTGTAGTGCCTTTCCTGCTCCAAGGGACCCTGTGGAAGCACTGTTCGGAGTTGGTTGTCCAGTCCCCATGGGCCGACCTCCCAAGTGGCTTTAGAATACAAACCCCTGAGCAAAATAGCATGAAGACAGAAAATCTGATCCAAAGTTATGAGAGACCAGGGTGGGGTGAAAGAGGATGTACATTCTGCTCAACCTCTTCCTTTGGAAGGCCCAACCTCTCCTCAGCTGACACCTGGAAAGTCTCCCAGGTCAGCCTTGCACACTGTGCCCAGGACAAGGCCACAAAAGGGGCAGGGACATGTTCAAGTCTTCCTTGTTGATCCTTTCCCAGGGAATGAGGGTGAGCTGGCTACTGACCTACCAGTCCCTATCCATCCTTCCAGAGAGCTGTCATTGACTCTAGTGCTAGTTTTTGGCCATTTCTCAGGGGTATTTTTTGGCCTTTTGTGTTGTGTTGTTTTACAGTCTGATCGGGTTGGTAGCCAGATGAAATTGTGTACATTCTGTTTCCAAGATTTCCTTTGGGTCAGGCAGCATACATGTGTGCCCTCCCCAGAGCCTCAGGTTTCCTGGGTGACATGACTCAGGAAGCAACCTGACCTGGATCTGACTGCCCCAGGGAGGTTCCCAGGTGGACTTTTATAGCCCACTGGGTAGCTCTCCTGGCCTGACAGCAGAGCTCAAGATGGCAGCAAGGAAAGCTCCTTTCTAGAGAGGAAAAAGGGAGAGAGCAGCAGAGGACACGAAGGAATGGAGCCCAAACTCCCTTCCCTTGGCTGTGAACCTGAGGGAGGAAAATTCTAAGGGAAACTTGAGATTTATCCTTGGGGAGCTAATAAATAAATAGTTACCAAATAAATGGAAACGTCTTCTTGGTATTTTCATTTCTAGGCATCTCTAGACACATTTAAGTGGAATTTTTTAAGGTTTTGCCTTTAGTTCAGGCCCATTCAGTTCAAGGTTCGCCACGTTTCCCTCCCAAACAGAGCTGAAATCACAGTGCCAAAAGGGCCAGTTAACGACACAACAGCAGCAGGCATGTGCACTTTCACTTCTATTATCCCATCTGATTCTTACTCCAACCCTGTGTGGCAGGGCAGGAGTTACCATTCACATCACAGAGATGAGCACCTCAGTTTGCTCAGCAGGGAGTGGCCTGTGGGCCCTGGACACCTGGCTCCTGGTTTGGTCTTTTTGCTGCTGTCCCCTTGCCACTGCTCGCTCGCTTTTGGGAAATAAACTGCTCTCTGTGGTCAAACACACCTGAAAAAACTGGGCTTTCTTAGCACTTATCAGACTATCCTGAGGCTAGGCAAGGCGGGATGGTGAAAGGGGCCACAACAAAGTGAGCACAAAGCTAAATGCATGAATGGATGCAATTAGAACTAGAACAGTTGTCTGGAGAAATCTTTGAAATCTTTGACCAGTCTAAGTCCTAACTGCAGTAAAAACTTCATGGGAATGCTTATGTTTAACATTTTAACACAAATTAACAACACTCTGTTAAACACATCTGGGGTGGGAGGAAAGGTGGTGGCTAGAAGGAGGGAAGGGTAGAGTCTGGGTCTCTGTGGGTCCACTAGGCCACAGCGACGGATGGGGGAGCATTCCAGGCCTCCAGCAGTGCTTGCAGCACACTGTGCCATGGGAGTTCCATGGGCTTCAAACTAATGGTCGTGCTGACCGTTGGGAATGAGGCGCCTGTTGGCCCCAAGGCCATTCTTCAAACAGTCTATCTCTTTGCCTTTGGTAGTCTCTTCCTCTTTCTCCTCTTCTTCCTCTTCTTCTTCATACTCATCCTCACCATCACTCCTCACATCCTTGATATTCTAGACAAAGGGAAAAATTGACTGTGAGTAACAACCTTCCAGAAAGAGTCTTGAGGGGCAAAAATAAATGAATCCAGTTTGAAGTATGTATCCCTTTACGGAAAACCCAGTATCCAAACAACCCAATGTTCACCAAAATTGATCATATCATGAATCATAAAATGAACTTTAACAAACAAAGTAAAATTATACAAATTATATTTCCAGATCACAATGGAATTCAGTTAGAAATCAATATAAAAAAGATAATAGGAAAATCTCAAAACACTTGGAAATTAAATAGTATCCTTCTAAATAGCCACTAGGTCAAAAATAAACTCTCAAAGAATATTAGAAAATATTTTGAACTAAATGAAAATACTAATACAACATATCAAAATTTGTCAAATGCAGCTAAAATAATGCTTAAAAAGAAATTTATATCATTAAATGCTTATATTAGGAAAGAAAAAAGGTCTCAAACAATTTGAGCTTCAACCTTAAGACACTAGAAAAAAAGAGCAATTCAAGCAAAAGGAAGGAAATAATAAAGAAAAGACAAAACAGTGAAATTGAAAACAGAAAAACAATAGGAAAAAACGATAAATCAAAAGCTGGGTCTTTGAAAAGATCCATAACATTAACTACTCACTAGCAAGACTGAAAAAAAGAAAAAGAGGGAAATCACAAACTACCAGAGAAGAAAAAGAAGATATGACTATTTGAGAAAGGACACCAAAAAAATGGAATTATGTTTTGGAGGCCAGGCCCCTTGTAATACAAGCTTCCCCCAATAGGTAAGTGTTCTAGGAAGCTACTGACATCAGTGTACCAGTTAGTACTGTTGTGAGAGGCTGTGTTCGGCTTCAGATAATTTTTTTCTGGCGATTCTCTTTCAACACATTTACTCATTTTATAATGGGTGATTTACATGAAAAACCTGCCCTCACCATGCTGAGTGTTCAGCAGTTTTTGACCCAAAACAGCATGATTCCCAGGCCCCACCCTCCCTATTCACCCCATCTCGCCCTGAGAGACTTTTTCTTGTTCTTGTTTCCCTAAATGAAAAAGTCCTCAAAGGGAAACATTTGGCTGATGTGGAAGAAGTGAAGCAAAAGATGGCAGAGGCACTAAAAGGTACCAAAATTGATAAATTCAAACAACTGTTTTGAGCAGTGGAAAAAGCATCTCTATAGGTGTATCGGATCAAATGGAGAGTACTTTGAAGGTGACTGGTGTTTAAACATGTAAGAATAAATACAGAATTTTTAATAAATAAATTCCAGTGTTTGGAGGGTCCCTCCTTATAGAAACCATGTACAATATAAGAATAACAACAGAGTTCTATGAACAACTCTATACATGTACATTCAACAGCTTAGATGAAATGGATCAATTTCTCAAAAGCTACAAACTACTGAAACGTTACCAAGATGAAATAGATAATCTAAATAGTCATATAACTATGAAGAAAATTGAAGGTGTAGTCATAAGCCTTCTGAAAAATAATAGCAGCAGGCTCAAATGTTTTCATTGGCAAATTCCATAAAATACCCAAAGAAGAAATAACACCAAATCTCCCCATTCACTTCCAGAAAATAGAGGAGGAAAAATGTCCCGTTTAATCTTATGGGGCCAGAATTGTTCTGATGCCAAAATCAGACAAAGATACGTAAGACAATTACAGATTGATATCTCCAATGAACATAGACATAAAAAGTTCAACAAAATATTCCAAATTTGCGTTTGCTCATATTCAAAATAAGCAATGTATAAGATAATAATACTCCCATCCAAATAGGAAAAGAGGAAGTCAAGTTATCCCTCTTTGCAGACAACATGATGTTATACCTCAAAAACCCAAGAGAACTGTCAAAAACCTCCTTACACTGATAAAGGACTTTGGCAAAATCTCAGGGTATAAGATAAATGTGCAAAAGACAGTTGCATTTCTATACACCAATAATAAACAAACAGAAATCCCCCCCAAAAAACACAATCCCATTCACAATAGCCACAAAAAAATTGAAATACTTTGGCATCTTCCTAACTAGAGACGTGAAAGATCTTTACAATGAAAACTACAAAACACTGCTCAAAGAAATCAAAGATGACACAAACAAATGGAAAAATATTCCATGCTCATGGATAGGAAAAATCAACATTGTTAAGATGTCCTTCCTACCCAAGGCAATCTACAGATTTAACGCAATACCCATTAAGTTACCAGCGCATTCTTCTCAGACCTGGAAATAACAATACAGGAATTCATATGGAAACATAAATGACCATGGATCACCAAAACAATCCTTAGCAAAAAAAAAACCAAAGTAGGAGGTATCGCAACTCCCAGACTTTAAACTTTATTATAAAGCTACAATAATCAAAACAGCCTGGTATTGGTGCAAAAACAGGCATATAGACCAATGGAACAGGATAAAGATTCCAGAAGCAAAACCTCAACTTCTTTTCCAACTCATCTTCAAGCCTCCACCACCAACACCTGGGGAGAGGAGAACCTATCAGTAATGGTGCTGGGAAAACTGGCTGACCACATACAGAAGAGTAAAACATGACTCCCACCTATCACCATACACAAAAAATCAACTGTAAATGAATCAAAGACCTAAATGTAACACCTCATACTATAAGAACCTTAGAAAATGCAGGAGACACTATCATGGAAATTGGAACCGGCAACCAATTCCTGATCAAAACCCCAAGTGTCCATGCCATAAGAGATAAGATAGACAAGTGGGACCTTATCCAACTGACAAGCTTCTGCAAAGCCAAAGTAACCATCAAGAGAGCAGGGAGACAGCCCACAGACTGGGAAAAAATATTTGTCAACTGTATGTCTGAAAAAGGCCTAACTTTTAGGATCCATAATGAACTGAAATGTGCCGAAAAGAAAAAAACAAATAGCCCCATTACAAAGTGCGCAAAAGATATGAATAGACACTTCTGAAAAGAAGACATACAAGTAGCCAACAGATAAATGAAAAAATGCTCAGCCTCATTAGTCATCAAACAAATGAAAATTAAAACTACATTGAAATACCACCTAACTCCAGACAGGATGGCCATCATCAATAACTCAAAACACAACAGATGCTGGAGAGGATGTGGCAAAAAGGAAACACTTCTACACTGTTGGTTTTTCCAGCACCATTTGATGACCAGGGTCTCTTCTTCCTAGTGGTTATTGGTGGTGGCTTTTTCGAAGATGAGTTGGCTAAGAAATTGAGGTTTGCTTCTGGAATCTCTATCCTGTTCCACTGGTCTATATGCCTGTTTTTGTACCAATACCAGGCTGTTTCAATTATTGTAGCTTTATAATAAAGTTTAAAGTGTACTAGTTACTGAGTGTAAACTAGTACAGCCTCTGTGGAAAACAGTGTGGTGATTCCTAAAAGATCTAAAAACTGACCTTCCATACGAGCCCACAATTCCCCGATTGGGAATATACCTGGAGAAACTCAAATCACTCTATGAAAAAGATAACTGCACATGTATGTTTATTGCAGCAGGGTTCACAATAGCAAGAACATGGAACCAACCATGCAGCCCAACGAAAGGGGACTGGATAAAAAAAATGTGGTACACAGTCATAAAGAAGGACAAAATCATGAACTTCACGGCAACCTGGATGGATTTAGAGTCTATAATACTGAGTGATCTATCACAGAAATAAATAACTGAATATCACATGTTATCACTCATAAGCGGACCTTGAGCAATCATCATAATACTATAAGAAAAAGATTGGCAGCAGCAGGAAACTGCCAGGGGGAGGTGGTTATGGTGGGGATCTGGGATTGGCAGTAGTGGGAATTTGCTGGGGGAGGGGGACACACCTTATCCACAAGGTACCTGCATAATGAACATTTATATATTTCACCCTGAATTGTACCCCACATCTATAAAATAAAAAAATGTAAAAGAAAATGAAAACAAAAGCAAAAAAGTAAAATAATAATACTCCCAACAACGTGGGATTTGTCTCAGTAATGGAGGGCTGTTTCAATATTTGAAAATCAATATAATCCATCATGTTAATTATCTAAAGAAGAAAGTAACAGTATATTAATTGATGCAAAAAATCAAGTGACAAAATTTCATATGCATTTATGATTAAAAAAACTCAGCAAAGAAGGAATAAAAAAGAAAATTTCAACTTATTAAAGGACATCTGCAAATCTTGCAGCTAATATCATACTTAATGGTGAATGATTGAATGCTTTCTCCTTAAGATTAAGCAGAAGGCAAGACTGTCCACTTCCACCACTTCTACTCATTGTTGCACTGGAAGTCTTAGTCAATATAAGGCAAGAAAAAGAAATAAAATCCATATAAGATTCAAAGAAAGAAATAAAAGTGTCTCTATTTGTAGCTGTCATGATTTCCATGTAGAAAACCCCAAGGAATATACCAAAAAACTCCTAAAATTAATAAATGAGTTTAGCAAGGTTGTAGGACACAAGGTCAACACACAAAATTATACACACACACACACACACACACACACACACACACACACACACACACACACACACACACGTCTTGATTATTAAATACTATATAATAAGCTGAAAAATGTTCTCCAAGATATTAGTCCCTCCTCTGTGGAACCTATAAATGTTACCTGATACTGTGTAAAGCTTTTGCAGGTGTGATTAAATTAAGGTGATGAGAAGATTATCCTAAGTTATGCAGGTGGGCCTTAAACTCTATCATAAGCGTCCACACAAAACGGAGGCAGAGGGAGAGAGGACCCACAGAGGAGAGGTAATGTGAAGACAGTTCTGCTGGCATTTTGATTTTGACTCTACTCAGATTATGGACTTCTGTTCCCCAGAACTGTGAGAGAATACATCTGTGTTGTTTTAAGCACCAAGTTGGTAGTAATTTGTTGTAGTGGCCATATAAATTAATACAACGAGGAGTGTCCAATTAAAAATTGAATTTAGAAATCTGTAGCATGGTGAAAGAAATAAAAGGAGGCATTAATACTTGGAATG